ACATTTTTCAAAAACAAATAAAACACGTCTGATCATTTCTATTTGGTTTTCTTTAGTCTAAAACCTCTAATTAAAATCCAGTGCATGCATGACAGTCCCTTTAGAAGTCACCAAATTATTAAATAAGAGACAATCTAAGCAAAATTTTATCAAAGATAAAGTTGTTCTGTGAAAGCCAGTTATGATCTGACAGAGCCTGAGCTATTTTGAAGATCTAAAATTAGCAAAACATTCACTATCTACTTTAGCAAAACTGATAAACAAGCAGAGAGACTTCCAGCTATAATTACACTCAAAGGTGATTCACGCAAGGTGAATATGAATACACCTCACGCTTTTTACATTTCCATGTGCACAATTATGTTATTTATTTTTTAAATGCATTGGGGTTTGTTGTGACGTTCCAAAATGCAAAAAAGTTTTACAAGTTGAAATATGTTTCCCCAAAGCACTTTAGATGAGTAACTTGGCGCCATTTTCTCACCAGTCTGAGTAAAGTAGATGCACTCGTCACTGTTGCTCTGATCGTGGCACAGGAAGTGACCTTTGAGCATGATGAGCACGCGTAAGGCAAAGGATGCCAAGTACATGCTCAACACCATCATGTCCAAGCAGTTCCACCAGTCCAGGAAGTAGCTTCGCAAGCCCTCAATCCAGACTTCCTTACACTCGTACCAGAAGAATCCTGTGTGAAAGAAATGATGTTCCAGTTAGCCTGGCGGTATTCGTTCATGTTAAACCTGACAGACTGGACCTACCAACCACCCACACCATGTGGAATGAGCTGTGCAAAATATTCTGCTGACGGGACGCAAATTTGTCTCGATACATCTCCATAGTTATGGATTCTCCGAGTAACGTGATGAGAAACCACAGGTACGACGCAGAATGAAGCAGAAACTTGATCACAGGGATTCTAATCATTTTTCCCGCCTGCAGGAAAAACAAGAGGACTATTGAGCGTAAACCACATATAATATCTGTCACTTCTCGTCTTAAGACTCTGCAAGATATGTTAGCGATTTTTATCCGACCTTCGACTTTGGGGCTATCCAGTAGACGAGGCAAAGAAAAGGCATGGTTAGGAAGATCCCAACAGAGACAAGGAGCTTCCAGACCGTCCTGCTGCCCCTCCACCCTGCCAGTTTTCCACACCAGATGGAAGAAAGAACCTGCTGGCAGATCGGATGGGCCACAAACTAACAAACACAGAGAGAGAATTAAGGTTATTAAGGTAAATAAGAGTTTTTTTGCACATGGAGCTAACCGCGTCCCAATCTGCCCACCTGCTTCTGGCTGTAGTTGACTGCGAGCCTCAGCCGTGACAGGTTGGGGATTCCCTCCTCAAAGGCCTCCTCGTCCAAAGCGTCCTGGCTCTCGTCTCCGCAGTTGTTCAGGATCGTGGTGACTTCGCTCTGGTTACGGCACATGCCCAGTAACTCAACGGCAAACTCCTGACAGAGCTGCTCCAGGCCCAGGTACTGAGGCTGCAGGAGAAACAATTTGTTTTTCCAACCAAACAGAGACAAACCGTGATATGCAAGAAGTATTTGGCTCTTGTAGTATTTTTGTTTTGCTTTTTTTTTTGTAAAGCTCAAATAAAGAGAGAATGAGAGACAAAAATATTAATCTTGTAAGTTTTCAAACGATGAGATGGTTCCATGTGGAAAAGGGATAGTCAACCTTGATAAATTATTAATTAACCATGCTGTGTTTATACCACAAGCCACACCCAGGCTTAATTACAGAAAGACATGTTGAACCAAGAAGCCACTTGAATACAACCTGTAGGCAAAACTAAAAGGCAAGACATGATGTTCAGATCTGAAGACATGTAGGCACCAAACAGTCTGGAATGGGTTGTGAAACCATTTATAAGATTTTGGGACCAACGGTCAACCATCAGTTTGTGACCATAAGCTCAAGCCTATCTGGGTTATGCAGCAGGGCCAAAGCACAGTCTCAAGTCCAACCCTGAATGGCTCCAAAATGAATGTTTTAGGATGGTTTATTCAAAGTCCAGACTTAAATCCAATTAAGATTCTTTGGCATGACTTTAACATGCCAAAATCAACTGGGACAAAATTTTGCCACAACAATCTTACAGACTGATTGCGAGTTCCTGCCATCGTTGCTATACCCACATTTTCCACAAAGAGCCATAGTGATTTGGATAGTGTTTTTTCTCCCAGTATGCAAAATCCTAATTTGTAAAATGCTTTTTTATTTACTAGGATTATATTTGTCTGATGTGATGCATTTATGTGTGACGAACCAAAAAAAATGAGGAAATTTTTAAGAGGGCACCTTAAATTCGGGCTCTTTTTGGGACAGCTTGCGGAGCTCTCTGCTGAGACTGAAGGCGCTGAGCATGGCGTCGCTGGAGGTGACGGACAGATAGGCCCGGCTGGCGATGCCACGGTAGGTGTTGATGCGAGACAAGGAGAACTTGAGCAGGTCGTACTGCCGGCCGTTGCGACACTCCAGACAGGCACAGGATATCTTATGAGGCCAGGGGATGCCATGGCCTTTCTGAGTGAGCATGGTGACTATTTCATAAAGATCTTTCTGACAGGCAAGGGTCAGAGGTGTGACACCAGGGGCAAACTGTGAGTTGTCAATGGACCGGTCAAAGATGGCTTGAGAGAAGGATCGTACATCCATCTTGTTGCCTTTCTCCTGGTCCAGGCGGTCCAACAGGCGTTTCACCACCTTGGGCTGGTTTGTGTCCACAGCCACCAGCAGAGCCTCGTGAATCTGCCGGAAGTCAAACTTGACTCCCTGCAGAAGGGCATCCATGGCATCCTCATTGCCCAGGCGGATGGAGAGGTTGAGAGCCTCCCTCCACTGGCGGTCCTCCGACTCATCCAGCTGGCGAATGATGCCATCCCCAGTCCTCAGCAGCCCACACAACAGCTCTATTTTTCCCTCCTGAATGGCGTTGAGCAGCTCTGGAGGGAAGTGCATCTTCTTGTTCATGATCTCTCGCCATTGCTCTGGCTGTGGAACAACACAAGCGAGTTACCATCTAGTCACAAATGAACAGTGAATTCAACAGCTAATATTTCATGCAAGTGAAGCAAAGTTTTCTGATTAGCCTTGATAAAGTTAGAATCGATTGACGTGTTGCTTCTTAAAAAGGAAAACGAGACAGGAATCTACCCTTTTCTCCTTGCGATTGCCCATTCTGTAAAGCACATAAATATAAAGGGACTCACCGTGAGGTTTTCCATTCTTGATGACAAACCAATCCACTCTTTAACGTTGTGATCCTAAAGCGAAATCCTGACCAGTCTTTGGAGACATGAAGCAGACATCCACCAACTATTTTGAGCTTCAGAGATGGAGGTGAAAGATACCAATAGACTGGTATGTTCACTTTCAATCAGCAAACTGAGCACTGTGGCGATCATGTGCTACCGCCTGACTAGATGGATTCATCATCTTCCATAAACTCAATAACAAAACTGAATGTCCCCGGGGCCAGGGCCAATTAAAATGTAACCTGGTTAAAGTGTTTCATGCTTGGCTGGGCTGAAAGCAAACTGTTTCAAACAGGAATTATCCCTGGTCTCCCCATTAGTAACAGCACCACAGGACAATTAAAGCGGCTGTCACTGTTGCTCCCCAGATGAGGAGCAGGAAGCACAAAGCACCCTGGATAAACAAGCACCTCACAGTTGAAGATTCACTAATTAATTTGCCCGTTTTCTCAACATTCAGTCCACTTTATGAAAGGTCAAACAGGTTAAGAAAAAGCAAACATTTTTCTTATTATGGATACTTAATTGTGAATTCGTCCCCATTTACTCCGATATCCCTAAAAATATCTGGTGCAACCAATTGGCTTTGGAAGTTACCCATCATAGTCACTCTGTCTACTCTTCTTCCTGTAAAAAAACATAGCTCTACTATAAAGTCATTAAATGTTTCGAAAACATTGTGGAGAAAGATGAAGCAAATTGAGGTTACGCCATATGCCAACTGATCGAGCCTTCATTCACTTTACCATTCCAAAATGGAAAGAAGATGGAGACACAAGTCAGGACCACCTAAACTGGCAAGTCCAGAGAAGCAACCAGAAGGGACACGTCAGCGCAGGAGAAGCTATGAGGGGGAATTGTTGCCCATCTGAATCTGAATCCAAAGATGGATAGGCAACAATTTTGGTCTATAAGTGCAGAGAACAGGAAGAGAGCTGCCCCAAAACACAGCAGCAGTGGATTCTACCTGGTATTGACTCTGGTAGTTTAGTTAGGAAATAAAATTGCATCAGTCCATAAAACAAAACAACCTGAAATTTGTGTCTAATACAATTGTAATAATAATGATAAATTATTGATGCATTGTTTGGGGTTTAAATAATAATCAGCTAAGAGTCAGTTTTCTCTCCACTCTAAATTTTAAGCGATACATTTCAATCTAAGTACGGTTAGTAAAGGAGGAAGTGGTTTATCGTTCAACTGATGACACTATAGTTTTATCTAAAAGGGAAGCCTGATGGACTCCTGCCACATGCAAAAATGAATTCATGCAGCAGAAATTACATACTGAGCTCCTAATCCAATCCATAAATTTGGGGGTTTAAATGTAAAATAAGATACAGAGTTAAAGTGAGAAAAGCATAAAGAAGCTAAAGTCTAAGTAAATGAAATTATTTTAAATGAATACTCTTAAAGGTCAAAACCGTGTCTGAGGTCTTACAGGAAGAGACTATCAAAAAAAAAAAAAAAAAAAGGTAAAATGTTTCAGTTTGAAGGAAGTAAAGACTCTTGGAAAACTTTAAAATAAGGTACATTGACAAAAGAAAAGAAAAAGCCTTTAAAAGTTTGAAAGATTTTGTATTTCAAGAAAAAAACAAAAAACAGAAATCAAATCAAATCAGATGAGCAACAGTTTTTCCCCCCAATAATCAGTTTAACCATCTTGCAACAGCAGAAGAAAAAAAAAAAAAAAAACTGCTTTCGACAAATGAAAAACAGATGGAGTCAGAACTTGAAGGTTGTTTTCTTCCGTTTGGTTTTCTGGAATCTACTAAATAGATTAAACTATAAACACATTTATCTTTACACAACATTCTGCTCTATGCTCTCGCTACACATGATCAGTGATGAACTTCTCACCTTTTCTGGAGCTTTTACTTCTATTTCCAAAAATTACAAGTGTAAAGACTAATACAAGAGTTTAAATCATATTGGAGATTTTTGCATTTGATCTGTATTGTTCTAAGAATTTAAAAAAAAAAAAAAAAAACATCATTAGAAAATTTTACATTTCAGGCCACAAATAAATATTTTGTGTCCTTTGTTCATCATGGCTGACTTCCTGTTGTGAAAGACATGAATGCCAAAAAAATCAAAAACCAGTGTCTTAGAAAATCTGAATGTAGAAACTTGTTTGGTGCAAAACTTTAGATCAAAATTATCCTTTTTTTTTTTTATTTCTGTGTTTGTGCTACACCGTGACAGAAAACCACCCCGGCCAGTGATCCATATTGGCCATGTGAACCCCCCGCCCCCTGCTGTGTCCAGTTTTCTCATGTTAGGATTTGATTGGGAAAAAAAAAAAAAAAAAAAAAAAAAAAAATAAGCACAGCCAAAACATTTACTCCTACTGTGCAGACAATAGCCATGATTTAACACTAGAAATGTTGAATCATAATTAAGGCTTTTGCTATTAAAAAAAAAGCATCATGTTGTGTTGATATACTGAAGATCCATGAGGGGAAACAATGACTTCCTCAACGGCAAATAACCAACAACACTCCTAAAACTAAAAAAGTGTTCTTTGGAAATATCAAAATCCAAAAGAGCAACAATAAAAATCCTGTAATAAAAATTACTTAAAGCCTAAACACAAAGCGCAAAGGAAGTCTTCTGCATCCTCAAAGTTAAATAAAAACTAAAACACATTATTAAATGTACAGAGCAACTGCATGTTCCACTTAATGTGTGAACTAACAGAAGTGTTAGTGACAAACAGTGCAGGTGGGCCTGGCAGGCTTTACTGTGGCTCATCCCTCGTTTCGGGCTCCTCCTTCATCTTCTGCTCATGCATGCGACTCCAAGTGGAGCCTGAGGAAATGGAAAGCACACTTCATGAACAAACAAAACAAACCAAAGTGCTACAAAAACACACAGGCTTTAACAAAAGCAGAAATGGAAACCGGTAGCCACTTTCACTCACTCATCTCTGTAAGTTTCTGTATCAGGGTCGAATCCCCTCCAGGTTTGCTGCATAAAAACAAACAAACTCAGCTGAAATGCACTTTGAATCCTTTGACAAACTTGATATTTAATTGGTTCCAAAACACAGGAATTGTCATTTCATGATCTAACACAAAACATTTAGACTGGAAAAAAAAAAAATCCTTTTTTATTTTATTCACAAATGTACAACAATACGTTTTGGTTAGGAATTATAAAACATGACAGTGTCTCATTAGTAAAGCCCTGGCTAAAGTATTCGACACCAACCTGCCGTCTGCTTCGTCCTGCCCGTCCATGTCAAAGCGCAGCTTCTTCAGAGGCTTGATGGCGGCGCTTTGGTCCATCGCTCTCTTGTGGGAGCGTTCGCTGCTGTTGACCATCTGGTTGATCTTCTGGAAGCGATTGCCCAGCTGCAGGAACGGAAGAGACCAAACCAGAGAGGGAAATTCAACCGACTGCACAGTTGTCATCAAGATCTGGGCGATATGGACTTGAAATCTCATCACGATATGTCCGGGTGTTCATTGCGACAAATTCAAACAGTATTTGTAGAAATTAATCAATTACTGGACACGCTCAAACTTCACAAACAAACATTGTTAACCTTTTGCATAATGCTTCCTGCGTACCTTAATATCATCTTAATGGAGCTGATAGAAAATAACTGGTGGTGTAATTTTTCTTTCACTGGTTTACAGTGAATATTGCAGTGCCTTACAAAAGATACTTTGAAACTTTTCACATCTTATCACAAACTTTTGCGTTGACATTTTATCTTATAGGCCAACACAAAGTAGTACATCATTGTAAAGGAAAAGGACACAGTTTTTCAAATTTTTTTATTAATCTTCTTTAGGTTAAACCTTAAGAGTCAATTCTTTGTAGAAAGGACTTCCACTGCTCTTACAGCACATCTACAAACTGTAATGTCTGCCCATTCTTTTTCCCAATACACCTAAGGTTCAGTCAGATTTCATCAACTTGAAGCTAAATCTCCACCCGAGTATTTGCTTTTTGCGGCCTCTAAATCTGATAACTACTAGTACTCACTCCAAATGATTCACCAATGGACACCAACATTCTGCAAAGGCAAAATACAGAAATGCGTTAAAAGCGCTGTCTGTATTTAGAGTGGGTCATATTAAATTAACAGACAAAAGGGTAGGACTGACCTGGAGCGAGGAGTCATGATACCCGGGGACATGCGGGAGTTTCTCAGAGGGGAGATGTAGACGTTGTTGCTCCCAGGCACACGCAGAGGAGAGTTGGGTAACTTGTATGGGCTGCGAGGGATTTGAGGTATTGGAGAAAGGGGAGGCGGCTGCAAAAAGTGAAAGTAGTGACCTTTAATAAGCACCGACGTTTCTGAAATTACTTTTTATAAAAACTGCTGTAATTGTAACTTGCGACGCCTCACCCTGGTGGACGCGTGTTGCAGGATATTCGTTTTCAACTTCTGCATGAACACTTGGTTGTAGAAGACAATGATGGAGTCGTAGTGGCCCTCGGCGATCAGCACGTTCTTGAAGGTCTGCAGAAGTCGGAGAAACGGTGGCGGGTTTAGTGTGTCGTAATTTGAACTTGAAACCAGTTTGCGTCAGCAGCGTGGAATGTTTTGTCAGGCTGCGTCACCTCCTGGTTGGTGTTAGTCATGTTCTTGTAGGCCGAGACGATGGACTTGAAGCGCAGGTCGACACTCTTCACTTTGCATATGGCGTACATGGCCGACATCATCAGCTGACAAAGAAAAAAAAAAAGAAACACAGAAGTTGGAGAAAGATGAAAGCACCTAGGAAAGCGAAATAATGGGAACTTCAGTTTGCTTTAGTACCTGGTCCAGGTGGCGGTCTCTCATCAGCTCATACTCGTGCTGCAGGGTGTACTGAAACAGGGTCCATATTATGGGCTCCAGCTCAGGGTGAGAGGACAGCAGATATGAGCAGAGAGTCTTTAGCCTTGTATAGGCCAGGCGGTACACTACAAATAAAAGTAAAATAAATAAATAAGAGATAGGAGAAAAGTGGGTGATAGGAGGCAATCAGTGTGTTAAATTAGCAGCTACAGTGTTTAACAAATAAACGATTTGTATTCAACTTTTTACATCAAGTCATAATACAACCAAAGAATTGAATGGTGTATCGCCTTTTAAAATTTTCTTTATAAAAAGATTTGAGATGAGCGTAAGTTCATATCTATTGATCAGTTTTAATGGCTGGATTCTGGAATCACCCCTTTCCTACATGAACTCAGGTGATATGTTAGCATTTGTCAAGGAGGCAGTACCACAGCCATCCCTATAAAAGAACGATCAGAACGACTGAAACGCATCTTACATTTTTTATAGAACAGACTGAGGGAGTTCGACTTTGGCTGCCTCGGAGCTTGGCAGGGCGCCTGGGAGGTGGACTGAGAAGCGGCGGGCTGCCGGGGAGGCGTGGTCGGGGAATCAGGAGGCAAGACCCGCGAGCCTGGGCGTGTTGGTGTGAGATATCTGCAACATGCAATACAGAGAGCAGAGGGAGGAGTCTGTCAAACTAGCAACACGGAGTCCAGAAACTTTCCACTTTAATGATAATCTAAACACTGATAAAGCTTCAACGCAATGTGGAGAGGAATCTCATTATGATTCATGGAATCGACCAACCTCTACAATGACGTTTGTGACTCATAGTGGTTTTGTAATAGCTGAAACGTTCTCTACGTTTCACAAGAAGTCAAAATGAGATGGGTAGCGTGACAACGTACAGGTCAGCGGCGGTGTGGCTGTGCTGCAGCGGCTGGCTGAAACTGGCTGGAGTCTCCACCGGCTCCGCTGCTGCGCTCGCATGCTCCTGATTCAGAAGCTCAAACAGCGGAGAGCCCTGCAAAGACACAGACATTTACCTCAGACTTTGTGCATGTGCATCTTGTTCACTGCTCTCCACACTGATTAATGCATCTCACACCAGTTCATCTAAAGGAGAAAGTCAGTGCTGCTCTAAAATTTTCCTGCATGTGATCAAAGAATATTTACTCACCGTCTGTTAAAGCTCTGCTCTCTGTATAAGTGTTATGTAATGACCTGATAAATTGTTTGGGGAACAAAGCGCACCATAAGCAAAAGCTTTGTGTCTCCATGTACTTTGATAGACTTCAAGATCTTCAAAGCAACCAAACCTTTAATGGGTGTTGGTGCTGGCAACAATACCTATGGTATGATGCTGGTAGGATGCTGGACTACTGTTACGGAAAGAAATGGTAGTTTATTTAAATTAGTTGGTTTATTTGCCACAAAGTTCACAAATATTTCATAACTTAGGTAAGTTATATAAATATTTTATAAGTAAAACTAGTCCTAAACTAGGACATATCTAAAGTGTCCTAGTTTTAGTCCTAAGCAATGATCTGAAGTGATTTTTAAGATTTTGGAGGAAGTCTTTCTTTGTCGTTCCACCAACTTTAGTTAAATACCCCACAAGCATGATGCTACCATATTCTACTTAATTCACAAAGTGTTACAAGTGGACTTACCTGAACAAAAAGCTACACTCAACCCTTCAGATTTGATGTAGCATGTATTTTTATTTGCACCTTAGTTCAATATCAGTCATGATAAGTTGGACAAAAACAAATTTCCCTTGCAAATATTTTATTTAAAAAAAAAAACCCTAACCCTACCCTAACAATTATCAAGAGATATTTTCAAATTTCCTGCCACATTTTTTTAACTCAATGCGACGGGACGCTGGATGAATGACCGCCGAGCGCTCCAACCACCGGGCTTAGCAAGTTTTCTGGGGAAAATCCTGAAAAACATCTGCTTCTCCTACCATGTTGACACAAGACACTCCCAACTGTGTGTGCATTGACACAGGTAAGTCCATGTCCACCCACAGCCGAGCTTTAACACTTGGTAATTTCATTAAGAACATTAGTTTAGTTAGAGAATTATGGTATTATTATTATGCACCACTACAGTATAAAACTAGAGCATCATAAAAATCATAAAAAGGAAGTCGAGGTTTAGCATGTGGTAACAGAAATAGCTCCAACCAGCACCGACATGCCACTGGTACATGTCACGCCTTGCTGACATCACTTAAATTTCAAAAGCACAGAGTGTTTTGTGGCTTCAGTAACATGACGTGATGCATTTCTATACCATTACAGTCAAACTTTCAGCAGGCTGAGTAAGTAATTTGGTTAAAATGTCTTCAGACAACACATTTGTATACTTTCCTTCTGATAAAAAAAAAACTAAAGCACGACCTGATAACACAGACACAATTGATTGTGATAGATTCAAATGTTAAGTTTCCAAATGTGTCAGCGCTTATTAGCGTCATGCAAAACCCAGTATCAGAGGGTGGACTTTGGCTCCAGGTGAAGGCTCCTCCCCGCCCTAACTCAACCGTCCAACCAGTTCCTCCTGTGAGCTACATGTGTGCAGACAGCTGTGAGATTTTCTGATTTACAGTAAACCAAGAGCAGAGTGAACAATCGTCATGTGCCCTCAGGGCGGCTGGAGGAACAGACGGAAGAACACGAGAGGGGAAGAGCCACTCGACTGTTCAGAGCTGACGAGAAACATATGATTCTTCTTTCTAAAGGGATTAAACCAGTGTACTGAGAGAGACGGTGAAGAGGACACCAAACTTATTATTTTTTCTTTTTTTCCAAGTGGACAATTTCACAAAGAGAAAATAAAAGACTCTGGAAGACAAAAGAAGGTAATTTGCATAGCTGAAGCTTTTTCCTGCCTGTTGAACATATGATTAAGAGAAAAAATTAAGGGCAAAGACTGAATTATATTTTTGAAGATTTTAATCTGACAAGCAGGATCTAAACATGAACAACAGCAGCTGTGAGAAAAATGATGACTTCAAGTACCCTCTGTACAGCGTGGTCTTCAGCCTGGTGTTTGCAGTGGGACTTTTATTCAACATAATAGCGTCCTACATCTTTCTTTGTACACTGAAAGTACGGAATGAGACCACCACATACATGATGAACCTCGTGGTCTCGGACACCCTCTTCGTCCTAAGCCTGCCTTTTCGGATTGTGTACTTCATCAAACAAAACTGGGTGTTTGGCGACGTCCTCTGCAAGATCTCCGTTTCCCTGTTCTATACCAACATGTACGGCAGCATCCTCTTCCTCACCTGCATCAGCATGGACCGCTTTCTAGCCATTGTGCACCCATTCCAATCCCGGAGCATCCGCACAAAGAGGAATGCCAAGCTGGCCTGCTTAGGGGTGTGGGTAGTGGTTCTCTCTGGAAGTATACCCACTGGGCTACTCCTGGACACCACCTCAGATAAAAACACCAGTTCTAACGAGTCAAAGTTCTGCTTCGAGAACTACTCGAAAAAACAGTGGAAGGCTGAATTGTGGAAGGTGGTGGTTTTTATTGAGACCGTGGGTTTCATCCTACCACTGATGCTCAACATATTTTGCTCGGTGATGGTGTTACGGACACTGAAGAATCCTCAAACCATCAACCGCGGGGGGAGCCTCAACAAGGCGAAGATCTTGAGGATGGTCGTCGTGCATCTGCTCATATTCTGCTTCTGTTTCATTCCGTACAACGTTAATCTCATCTTCTACGCGATGGTGCGCACCAAAGTCTTACAGGGGTGCCATGCAGAGGATGTGGTCAGGACTATTTACCCCATAGCTCTCTGCATAGCAGTGACCAACTGCTGCTTCGATCCGGTGGTTTACTACTTCACTTCAGAGACAATTCAAAGCTCCTTCAAGCGAAAGTCGACAGCTTGGCACCACGGGACCAGACTATTTCACAAACTGCAAACAGACAGCTCACAGACCAGTTCAAAAACGACAATAAAGAGCCTCCCACCGAAGAGCAACAGATCCAAAATTTTGGAGTCATCCGTTTGATGACAGTTATACTGTCGATGTGAGCAGTGACCCAAGCAAGTAGGGTTGGTATTGGTAAAACTTGAATTGAAGCACAGTGACTTTGAAGTCCAAACAAATGTATTAATAAGGAGTTACTCCACACAGGATACACCAGACTTTAGACTCAGATTAAGGATGATGATTCCTAAGAGGCAATAAAACAGAAGAACACTGTGTTGCAACTTTTTATAACAGCCTACACCTGGGACATGGACCATTTTACATGCTCGAAATAATTATTGCACATGTGATGTTGTGTCTGTAATTTTATTTATAAGAGCTGAACCAGAATTATTGTTCTTTTAAGATGCTGTAGTACGACATTTGTAGTCATTTGTGTATTCTGTAGCCACAATGTGCACCTTACACCATAGCATGCTTCGTAAAGAACTACAAATTGAGTAAATAAAACATTTTTTTTGTTTGTTTTTGTTTTTTAAGATTTGAGTTGAACTTGATTTTTTTTTAACTAAATAAGGTGGGGTAAAGTGAGCATATTTGTCTTACTGGTTAATACCACATCATGTATCTAGGGTCCAAACATAATTCTAGTGAAAATCCCATACTTTTGCAGACCAACTGCAATTACAGAAGAGTATGATTAATTTATGGCAGCGATTTCTGTCATAGCCAGGCTTTATAATGCATTAATACATTCAGACAATGGAACAAAAACATAAAATCAGGAAACATGTAGTCTTTTCATGCTTTTTTTTTTCTATACTCAGAAATAGCTGAAATTAAAATTCACATTCTGTCTGTGCAGTCAGAGTTTAGTCACAGCAGTGCTAATGATTCTGAAGGAACATTTCAGGCGTGGCCTTGGGCTGAAGCCTTTACAAACAATGTGAACGTGATTAAATTGTACCTGCCCAATTACACTTCCAGGTGGCCATATAGAAAGGAGCATGCATTAACTAAATTCTAAATAAGTCACAAGAAAATGTTCTTAGCTTGCATTTAATTCAGCGTGAAAATGACTGAATGTGGTGTGAAGTGCTTTGGGCCGCCTGCCAATGAAACCATGGCTCTTTGCAAACAGAGTACTGTGGAGCTTGTGAAATATTTGCTCCACCTTGTAAAAGCTGTGCACAGCAAGACGGAGCATTGCTGCATTTTTTGTGGAACGGCTCGGCCTGAGGGTCTATGCCAACAAGAATAGACTCGACTTCTCCAGTGACAGAGAAACCAAAGCATGCGAGCAAAAGCATAGCTTTTGAGGTGAAAACGTTCACAAAGCACGGTGAAGGAGGAAGCAGCTGAGCCACAAGCAATGAGCATGAAATATGGGTTTCAATGAAATCCATGGGTGAAATATAAATAAAAACTGGGTTAAGGTTAAAGTCTGCTGGTAGAATGAACCTGTTGACATACAATTATTTGTTTACAGATTCGTGTTGTCTTCTTAACAGCTTTTTTTTCTTAAATCAAACAACTTTTAAAATTGAATGAAATAAACTTGAGTAAATACAAAAAATTAAACCTAATTACAGTTGTGCCACAACTGCCAACAAGCATTTTTGATGACCAGCAATGATCACTGTTGACCCACTCTGTTTTTGCATAGTTTCTTGAATTTAGCTGCAAATTATGGTTTTGAATAAGAACAGCTTGTTTAAGGTTTTGCCACAGTGTCTCAATCAGATTCAAGTCCAGACTTTGACTAGGACTCTCTAAAACATTCATTATGACCTGCTTGTGTACTTTGCACCATTATCCTGTGGTGTAACCAGAGTGTGGACTGCATGGTGACACAGTTGGTAGCACTGCTGCCCAGCAGCAATCAGGTTAAAATCTCAGGCAGGGGTCTTTTCTGCAAAGAGTTTGCATGTCTAGCAGACTGACAGAATCCATGCAATTGGCTGCACTGTGTAAACACTAGTAGTGCCTTGCCCAAGGACACCACAACAGACCGACAGAGCAAGGGTCCAACCTGGCAACCCACTGTCATGGGAGGAACTCCTACCACTTGAGCTACTACCGCAAGATAACCCAAGATCATAAACTGATGGTTAGGCCTGTTGCAATGAGCAATAAATCAATTAATCAAATGATACATTACAAATAGCTCAATATTTTCCATTAGTATGGTTTATCATTTTTCTCTCTTTTTTGACTTCTACCAAAGACTGGATAACAAAGGTCTCCAGTCTTTGTGCACTGGTTTAAACTAGGACAGTTTTGTTTACAGAACCTTCGTAATTCCTTTTGTTTGCCGTTTTATTTGTTTATTTTGGATATTTTGAATGTCTTCCAGGTACAGTGTTAAATCTGCATTAGAATTTAAAGTTTCTTGATTTTTGAGAATGTGTTCTTCTTGCATTACTTGAAAATTGGTCTCGAGACAACATTATCATTTATCGTCATAACTTGTGGGACGCGACGTCTTCTAGAGAGCACCACACATGGTTTCGTCAATTACAACACCTTATACTCAGGTCCTGAACCGGTAGAGCGGCCCCAGTCCATCATTTTATTTATTTTTTTTTTTTACCTGGGATTACTCCCACTGAGGTCTTCCTGACCAAGTCTCTCTCTAATGATTAGACACCGTAATCAACACTGACCTTAACTGAGACAACGGAAGTCACAAACTATAAACTATAAGGGGTAAGATGGGCTTGTATAACATAAGTACTGTACCGATTATGATACAATCTGCAGCTGCTGCCGGGGGGCTGCTGTGTACACAGAGCAGATGCGCCGCATGGTTTTCCTGTCCGTCTCATCTGATAAATGTTCGTCACCAAAACGCCCAGTTGATAACATGTTGAGAATGGTGCACAACAACCTTGCTTGTGTTTGAAGTGAACTAAGAGCTTTTGAAAATCCTGCCAGAGGACAGACAGTGAAAGAGTTTAGCTTTGTGCCTTGGATATTGTTTAGTAAATGATGGAAGCCTCGGTCCTGTAATCTCCTGCTTTAACACACACAACGCCGGATCGTTTGCATAATGTGAAAGTACAAGGTTAATCTGTAACGCACATTTATTGTGGAACAATGGTTTGAAATGTTTTTGTTTTGTTTCTTCTCTTTTCTTGATTTTTTTGGGGGGGATCCAGACATGATATTCTGCTTTTGAGATTTTTTTTTTTTTTGCCCATCATGTTGCCAGAAAGGTTCTACTTCAATGACCAAATATTTCTACAAACAGGAAGTAATCTTTTACTTTTACTTCCTTGTTAACTTTAATTACTTAAGGTACGGGATTACTTTTTTCTGTTTGGGCTTTCCCACAAAAAAAAAATGGTATCATTGCATTTACTTCTTTACACAGTAAATACAACATGTTAGATCCTCAAACAAATTGAAAATTTGTAAGAATACTGCATTTGAAATAAAGGAAATACTTTGCCAAGCAAAATTTTATCATAAATATTAGTGTGAAATCCTTTGGGTAAACAGTAACACAAAAGTTCTGATTGACGGCTACATGATCTGGATCAAATGGTATAAAGAAAAGCTGACAGAGCATCTACCCCATCATTGGCTTATAAGGATGTATAATAGCAGCAACTTCCTGTTATTCATTTATCAAATAGACGGAAATATGGTTGATAAGAACCCTTAATCATTTCTAAAGGCTTTTTTTAAAAAAAAAAAGAGCTGTAAATATAACTGCATCCATGAGTTAATAAAGCAAATTAGCTTTAACAAAAGGCTAATGACTTTACAGTTTAGTAAGAAAGCTACCTTATCAGACAAATAACCTGTTGATCAGGATATTTAAAGCTTTCTAAATGACAAATATTTAAACCGAGCAGTGGAAATGTTGAAGTGTGCAGGGATGGAGGGTGGGAGCAGAGAGGGACCAAGAGGAGAGAGAAAGGTAGAGATCCTTGTCTGTAGCACAGATCAGTAGGATGCAGGTGAAGCAGGATGGAGGAATAGGTGCCCATTTCCAGCTCGCTATTTATCACACTGCCGGCCAAAATATCGGTGAGTTCTACTGATTTACCCATTTTAATGCAGCTACGGCAGCTCTGCTTTTGCAAAAAACATAAAACAATGTGTACATTTTATATGTTTTCTACATTATTTAAATCAGATGGTGGCAAAAATTGGATATGAAGTTTCTGCATCTCAATATGAACTTGATCAAATATATGAAAACTGACACATTTTGCAAATCTTGTTTCATTTCAGGTTCCCTGTAGGATAATTTTACTAATTATTCATAGGCACGTTATAAGAATAATAACATCTTAAAAAGATTAGTAGTAGAAAAATGCTTGTAATCAATTAGAGGCTTTGTTATTAATTATTTGCATTTCTATGGAACAGCAGCATCTGACAGGATAAACAAATTTCACTGAGATTTTGGGCTGTGATCTCGTGGAAATTTTGAAAACTGTGGTTTTGTTTTCAGGCAAAATGTACTGGGGGGGGATAAACCACAAGTTTGGGATGTCATACGTATTGACGCTTTGCTGTTCATATTTATATAATCCCGTCACTAAATCCCTGAATACTTCTCCCCACCACCGGTAAAACATACAAGGGAAAAGGTTTGTTACGCAACACCTAGATCATCCTGCACCGCATCCACTTCACTCAAACATCTAAGTTTTCCTCATTTAAGCATTAAAACTATGAGTTAATACTTCACAGTGGAATAAATGCAGAATTTTCTTTTAATACGAGTGTTTTTGTAATTAATTAATCCAAATAATAAAGTCCCAAATAAAGATTGTTGCATGTATTTACACAACACCTTTAAAAACCTGAAGTGCTTTTACAGTCAAGATGTTTTATTAATACAATGAAAAGCTGAGCAATCAAATACCTTACTATACATAACAATGATGATGATGAATTATTTAAAATAAAAGAATGCTGCTAAAATAGCTTTGAACCTACAATGTTAGAGAAAAACGACTTCTCGACCGCATTAACCCCTTTCTGCTTTGGGCTTACAGAAAACAAAAACCACATAAGTAGGTCATGTAGCTATTAAGAGAAAAAAATGAATCCATTATATCATCTGAAAATGTTTTATTGAAGAAGTGTTTCTGTCTGTTTTGGCAGTAAAACAATTCAGCTGTAGTTTCTTAATAATAACCTTACCACCTCTTCACTTTCTGAACGTTTTATACTGAATAAAAGTGCCACTAAATAAAATACAGCCTTGGAGCATCCGAATGCAAGGCACCTAAATAAATAAAAATAAATACTTACTCACTGGCCAAGCAGTTCTTAACCAAATTGTCTACAGTAATATCACGATGATGATAAACTTGCACTGTGTCGTGCATCCTCAGCATAAGCCATCACGAGCTGTGGTTTAAGTGGTTTTGACAGAAAAGAGAAGCTGATCAACTGTGTAAATAATAAAAAATGTCTCATAACACAGAGTAAACATCAATAAAAAGTGCTTACAGTCAAAGCCTACCATAACGCTGTCAGAAAAATCCTTAACGACATGTTTGCTTACGTGCCAGCATCCAAAATTAAACCGTCTGACCATCTCAATCAAGCATAAACTTTACGAGTTATTTAATGTGTCAATAGTGATCCACAGAGAAGTACTGCTTTTCCAATGTAATGAAATCAATGTTTACATGTTTTATAAGGAAAAGCCGGCATTAAAACTTCATTGGCTGGATGCATTTGACCATGCCAGTTACAGGACTATTTAAGAGTCACTTCAGCTAAATGACCTTCATAAAAACCCTGTTTTAATCTGTCCCATCTTGTGACAGGCGTAATATCTCCAGCAGAAGCAACGCGGAACGCTCCCCTCTGGACATGCGAGCGACTTAGAAAACGTTTGAGACATGGAGCTGTGGAACGCAACAGATCTGGAGGGAAAACCAAGCTGGCCTTCGTCTAACTGCACTGTGGATACGAGCTACCGCTTCACCTTCTATCAGGTGTCCTACAGCGTCATCTTCCTGCTGGGACTGGCCACCAACAGCCTGGCTCTGCGTAGACTCTGCACGTCCTCTTGCTCCGTGAGCAGCACGGCCGTCTACATGGCCAGCCTGTCCTTCGCCGACATGTTCTTTGTGATCTCTCTGCCCATGAGGATCTACTACTACCACCAAAAGGCTCGAGCTTGGTCGAGGACTGAGAACCTGACCAGCTGGATTCCTGGAGCGGCTTTCTGCCAGGTCACCTTCATCCTCAAATACATCAGCTTGTACGGCGGGATCTTCTTCCTCGTGTGCATCGCGGTGGACCGATACTTTGCCGTCGTGCACCCTCTGTCGCCGAACCTCCGCAGGCAGCGTGTTGCGCGGATCGTGAGCGGGGGGATATGGTGTGTGGTGCTGGGACTCAGCGTGAGTCTGCCGCTGTTGCGTTTGGCAGCTTCTCACCAAAACCGGCCGTGTCTGCTCGACCCGTCCTCCCTGCGCCACAGAACTTTCATTCTGGTCTCTCTGAGTTTAGTTTTGGGGTCGTTTCTGCTGCCCACTCTGATTCTCCTCTACAGCTACTGCAGAGTGCTGAGCGTGCTCCGCAAGTCGAGGCATCGCTGCCGCAGCCAGAGCCGCAATCGTCGGCAGACCCTTAAAATTATTTACTGGGTTTTGGGCGTCTACTTGCTGTGCTTCCTGCCCTATCATGTCAATCTGCTGGGCTACACCCTGACACACATGAAGCTGCTGCCACACTGTGGCCTGGCCAAGCTGACCAAGACTGTGCACCCAGTGGTGCTCTCACTGGCCAGCTTTAACTGCTGCCTCAATCCACTCATCTATTATTTCTCCAGCAGCCTGGTGCACAGGGAAACTTCGGGAGGTGGAGGCAGTAGCATTCAATGCCAAGGAGGATAACACCAATGATTGCAGCGTATTTGAAACGTTTTAATGCTAAACACAGCTGGTTTTTGGTGAGTAAAGTGAACTCAAAGTTGCCTTTTTTCTGTATTAGTAAGAGGAAACATAAAAGCTATAGGAAACTGCTTAAAATGTTTTGTCTCATCTGTTAATTCAGGATGGTCAGAGGAACCAAACTTTATTTTTTCTATAATGTTAAAGAGCGAGTATGTGGTTCATTCAGGCTGCAAAACAGAGAGCGAGAGCAAGGCTTACAGCAGATACTTTAGCTGTAAAGCTCTGTTGCATTGTTTTCAGCTGTTAAACTAATTTGTAAATATAGGCAGCTTTAAAAAAAAAAACACAAGTGGATTTATAAATGCTGAACAACAACTTCTAACCAGTAAAAATACCAGTAAAGAGATAATAATAAAATAATTATTAAAACTAAATAAAAGAACTTCTCTCCGATTAGTGAAGGAGTACATTTGAGTAAAGCGATTTATTACATAACAGGGTTTCCCCCAGAAAACTTGCTAAGCGCTGCGGTGTGGGCAGCCATTCAGCCGCCTACTGTGTGTTTTTGAGTTAAATTTCTTTTTAAAAGTTAAAACAGGAAATTTAAAAATACAACTAGTTAATTATGTGTTATTGGAAGACATCATTAGCAAAACCTAAACACCAAAAGGCAAACATAAAAAATGCAATAACATTTTTTGCACTTCAGTTCTTTCATTCTAATCAAAGTGTCTAAAATATTTTTAGACTTTATGCGCAACTTGTCTCTTTGTTTGCTGAAGTTGTTAGCATGAAGACCCGGGGTGAGAGAGTTTCTGTGGCCCACCAGGCACTGGTGGGAAGCCCTGCATAAACGCACTGCACTACATTTCTCAGGTGTCCAGCAGAGGACCGGGCCTCAGCTGGATGCTACTGTCAGAACATCTGCAGCTGTCTGGACTCACAATGTCTCAATTGCATTCAAAGCCGACAGTATTTCTCTGAAATAGTAAATTAACTCAAATACGGCAGTATAAAATGTTGAATTTGCACTTTGTAACATGATACTCTGTTAGGCTACTGTTTTTCTTCTGCTCACCGACTAATAAACACCGTGTAATCACACCTCCAGCTCGTGTGTTCTGTGGTGGTGAGACTCACCGTCCGCCACGCGATCCTCTCCATGATGAGGTTCTCGCAGGTCTCCAGATGTTTGATGATGTCTTTGCTCAGCGTCGGCTCAGCCTTGATGAAGCTCTCGATCACTTTGTAGAAGTCAAAGGCGGAGAGGTTGAGGACGTTCAGGATCCAGGGGAAGCACAAGTTCGTTCCAGTTTGGTCGCTTCCTCCGTTCTTGAAACTGCTCTCTGGTCACAGAAACGAGCAGAAGTTAAAGACAAGCAACAGTTTATTTGTCTCCTGCAGTGAAGGGTGTAACTTAAAATATGACTGAACTGAAACAAAGTAGGAGATTATAGGGGAGCACCTTCATATGTTGCCATGACGACCTCCAAAGAACAGGCCAGGAGTGATGTGTGAAATGTGGAGTCATTGAGGAGTTTACTAGAAAGCAGACGACAGGATTTGGTTCAATTAAAAGACGGATAATGCAAATACAAGAACATACCAGAAACAGAAATCATTTGGTTTGGTATTTATTTACTTCTGGCCTCAAGGTTACAGAAACCAACAACATATTCCACATGATCAACTTTCTTATAAGAGTCCAGGCCAGAAAGGAAAAACAGACGAAGGTGGAGTTACTTCAGATTCATCAGAATAACTTCTGATGAAAATGGGAACAAAGTCTTACGACACAAATTAAAATCCATACTTCTCTAGAGTCTGTAGAGACCTTGTTTTCATTAGCAGATGTGACCACTTCTATAAACCAAAGAGCTATGGAAATTTGCTAGTCTGGAGAATACAGATGAGTATTAACCCAATGTCAGGAAGATGAGACAACCTCACTGAGGTCAGAGAAGCAGTTATTGCCAGACATCAAGGGTTAGAAGTCCATTTTTAAACGAGTTGACCAAAATATTATTCACAAGAGGAAAGTTTTTAAGGCACCAGATAAGAACATCCTGACAAATTCACTACACTGTCAGCACAGCACAGTTTGTTTTGCCAAACTTTAAATGCTTAAAGTCATATGTTAAGAATCAAACAGGGAGAAGTTATGGGTCATTTTCTGTGGTAGCCAGGAGAAAGCCCCTATTCTACAAAAAAAATCGTACATTTGCAAAGTGCAAGACTAAGTCCTTTGAACAGATCAGACCAAACTAGAGACTTGAGGTGAGGTGAGATTTGGGGTTGTTTTAAGAAAGTACTGAGTGTGAACCAAAAGATAAGATCGTCAACAGGGCAAAGGTTCAAAACACAGCAGCAACTCTGGATGGATTGGTTGATAGATGGACATAATGGTTTGATTTAATAGGTTTTTAATAATGAAAAAAAATTGAGCAATGACCCAGTCAAAGACCAGAGGTTAAGAGTAATAAAATGCTGTGATGAGACCTAGAACGCTCAGAAACCTCAAAATGCCGGAACATGTTTCTATAGATGAGCAAGATAAAATTACAGCCCACCGATATAAAAGACCACAAAGTTTCATAATAATAAGTAGTTTGATTCACCACAGTTACTTCCACAAGCCGTCGAATCAACCATTTTACTTAGTTTTGCTTTTCCATTTTGACTTTATTGGTTATGTTGAAATTATTTTCTAATCTAATCAAGACCAGGAGTCTCATTTATAAAGCTGGAGCAGGCACAAAACGGGGCCTGAAACTGGCATGTGTTGCTTTCTACATAAAGCGAACTATAAAAAAAATAAAATAAACTTGACGGGAGAATGTGCGCTCTCCCACGCCAACTCTGACCCGGACGTTCGCTCGTTGTGGAAACTGAGGAAACCGGCGACACGGATGGTGAGGAATTGAAGCCTCGCTGCATCACGATTCGTCTCAGACATTTAGTTTCACTCCATATCAAACTTTAATCAGCTTTGTTGTCAGCATTCAACACAATACTGTAATTTATGCTTCTGCTGGTGAGCCACAGCTATACAAATTCAAACTATGTGGCCCTAATGTACTTAAGGTGTATATAGAGATTTCTGCTTCTGTGAAATTGTGTTTCTATCTTTTTCTCTGTGGTTGCCATTGGTGACCATGAAATGACGAACAGCAGTCTTAAAAACGCCACAGCCTTCATGACGTACTTTGCGCTGGCCATTTATGGTTGAACGTGGGTGTGCAGAGGACAAAACATGAGGCGGTCGGAAAGTGGTAAGAAAACGTTGAAGTGCAGAAATGACTATTAGAGGGGAAATTTCTTTCTGATGTTTGTGTGAATAGTTTTTTTAAATATATTTTTTTCCTTTTGGCATACGTACACTTTTGGTACAGATCCTGCACAGTGTTTTGCAAATGGGACCCCAAACTATTTTAATATGTTCTAGATTTGAACAAAGTTATACTTTCTTTTTCCTACTGCACAAGTTATGCATCTATTATTAAGAATTCAGAGTTAATGGCAACGAGAGTAAATTTTTTATACTGCACTGCAGAAAGAACTTTATAAATACCTGAAATTTTGCACAGAGAGACGCTTCTCTTCCTAGAACATAAAACATAACAAAGGATTACAATGAGTTCAGCCATTTTGATACATGTTAACACGGAAAATTTCCAAGCACAAAGAAACAAGTTACTATACCGATTTCAGCATAGCCTCCATTACTTTGTAGTATAATCTGACGCCAAGGGCAAATCTCTGAAAGACAAAGAGAACTTTTAGCAAGAGATAAGATCAGGTCAGGACAGGATGTGGTGCTTTTAAGCTTCATACCTGCCTGCCGTACACGACACAGTGAGGCCCCACCGCCTCGCCAAACTTCTGGCTAAACGCCTGACCAAGTGTCTCTAAACGTTTCTGTACATCCTGCGTCGGGTCCACAGTGCAATTCTGATCGTAGCAAATAGGACACACAGAAACATCTTAAATTAATCAAACTAGAAGAACTCAAGTTTAATAACAGGCTAACCCTTTCATGCATAGTGGTCACTATAGTATGGCCGACAGACAAAAAAGCACGCCGACCGACCCGGTCCCTCCTTCTACAGTAAAAAGAAATATTGTGACATCAGATAACCCCTGATGAATGCATTTTCAAAAAACAACTTTGTATTTGGAGAAAATTACAATTGATCACCAAAATAAAATAAAAAAATTTTCCCAAAAATTTTTTCTACCTTTTTTTATGCCTTAAGAAAATAAATAAATAAAAAAAATGGGAAAAAATCCTGACACAAAGGATCATAATTCATGCATGAAAGAGACTCACTTTGAAATATGTGGCCAGTGTAGTAGAAGGTTGATCCCCGTTGGAGGGAAGGTCTCCTCTGAGCATCCGAATAGATGTCATGGCAGCTCTGAGGAGAAAACAGAATGTAATGTGGTGACTGGATTAACCCAGAAGGAAAAATTATTTAATAATGACTGTCATGACAAAGTTTTTTTAATACAAGATTGTTTCCCCGTATTATGATGAAACTTTATTAACTCCCTAAGGCACTGCTGAGAATAAGTAATTCTGTTTTTCTTCCATCTCTTTTAGCTTGTGGCTAAGCTAAAGCTAAAGGAAATGACATGTTAGGAAATGCAAATGAGAGCGAGAGTTAAAGGATATGACGTGCTAGGGAACGCCCTCTTTAGGGCGTAGTTTAGATAGAGGCTAACAAAAGGAATGGAAAATTTTTTGTTTGATGTCATTTTGTCCTGCTAACTCCAAAGGTACCATGAGAAAAGGACCAGCTGTATTTTGGTATTAATACATGGAATTCATGAATTCAACTCACTGACTCTTTTTCAACCTCATACATGAAGAACTTAGCATGGAGAATGGATAAATTCTCCACGGCACCAACCAGGTGAACGACATCCAACTACCCACTGTGATGGAGACCAGGGGTTCCATCCCCAATAAATGATGATTGATGTTACATTATGTTGAATTTATTTACAGACCAAATGTGTTTTGTTTCAGTTCTTTATTTCAGTTGCATTGTGACATTTGGTTGAACAAGCTTTATGGGTAGAGAGACTGGCCATCTGTCCTGTTCAGGGAGAATGTGGGGGAGAATATCGGCTCTGATTTAGATTGGTTTAATTTGAGTTTGCTAATCGTTTGAGTCCTTACCTTTCTGGGTGTGTCTCATCAGCAGGGTGGAGCAGCAAAGGGAGACAAGTGCTCCAGGTGCTGTTAAAAAGCTCCTAGAGCATACCACTTTCAGTTAGGAGGGGTAATACTCTGAGGAATTATATTAAGTTAAATTTATTCTTTGATTGACCTTAGTTAGTTCTAATGATTTGCATGCATGTGAATATGTGGTGGCACCATTTAGGTGTGTTAGGTTTGTGTAAGCAGTGTTTGTTGTTTGTTCTGTTTTGATCACCCCTTTACTTGGTATAAGTGGTCAACTTCCCTCAGGTATAAATGCCAGCTTCTCGCTCTCACTGTGAAAATGGGGGTCAGTGTAACTGTGACCTTGACTTCTTTCCTTGCCTCCTTCCTGAACGCAGAGGAAGGAAGGAGGCCGGTCAAAGTGGCGCTCACCTGATCGGAGTCTGAGGAGGGATCGTCGGCCCGTCTTCCTCTGGCTGGTTCTTCTTTGGAGTTCTCTCCACCTGTGATCTGAACAAAGAATATCGCATCTGTTTTTCCTTCTCTCTTTCCGCTAAAGCACAACCGCAGCCACTAAAGGAGAGAAGCTAGGAACTTACATCTCGATTTTAGGAGGAAGAACGCTCTCATCCCCGTCGAAAAACAGACGCCCATCGATGTCTCTGCTCTTGAGGTAGTGCTCTTCATACTGCTGGTTGACATCATTCACCTGAGGAGAAGATTGCACCACAAGTGGACATGATGTTTGTGAAAGGAGCTTTTATGGAGAAAGACAAAATCCAAACGCAGACTTGGGCATTCCTGTTTATTAAACCTCGCAAAATACTGTAAATAATTTGAAAGCTTCTTCCTTAACCTGTTCTCATTGCTCAGAGTGAACAAGAAAAATAATAATTCTTGAATTTTTATTATGATTGATTTCTGTATAGGTTAATGAGCCTGTTTGGACAGAGTTCTTTCAGCTGGACTATTTTGGTCCATGGGGTAAAAAAAAAAATTAACAGAGTTGCACTCACAATGGAAAAACCCAGCCTAAAGTTGTCGCTTTGTGTATCATAACAGGTAAAGAGAAAAATGTATTATCAGTAAGGCATTTGAGCTTACAGTGGAAAATCATGAATAAATAATATTGAAAGGATGATGTACATTTGTATTCAGCCCTCTTTGATACCTTTCAATAAATAATGAATACTTTAACAAGCCATTGCATTTTGTTTCTCTCTGTTCAGATTTCAGATGCAAAACTAGTACAGAAAATAATTCTGTAGAAAAAGCTCCAAACTTTCTCTTGCTGCCCCTGAAAGAAAGCAAAATATGTGCCTATATACCCTTGAATCTTACCAAGAGCTTCATGTTTTCAAGCTGTTTATTCAGGCCAATACATGATAGCATAAATAAGGTTGGACAAACATTCACACATATACCACTAAGGTCTATAATGTTGACCATCTGGCCTTTACTGGGGCAATATCTCCCGTATCGTTCTTCACAGAACTGTGTCAGTGTCGGTAAACAGAAACCTCCTGCCTCAACACTTTCGTTTCTGCCTCTGCAATAAAAGACCCGGACGTCCTTTTAGTGACTCTAAGTGCGAACAAATACTTAAGGATGAGAACGAACAGATGCCATCGGCTGCAGCAGAGATGATGGAAACTGTGAGTGCTGTGGGGATAGAGTAAAACTAAACAGTACAGCAGGTGTTCTGGGAACAGGCACTCACCTGAGGAAAGTCGGTGGATCTCGAAAGATCCATCGAGTCCAGAAAAGCCAAGAAGCTGGTCTGGTACACGTTCTTCACCTGCAAACAAAGAGGACAGCTGAGCAAAAGTCAAATGTTCTCATATGACAACATGCTCAAACAAGGAAGAGAATTGTGAAACCTCTTCGAAATTGCATTCGTTGTCTTTGCACAAGGTTTCAAGAAGCTGCACATCAACCTCTGGTTCTGAAGGTCTGGACTTGGCTTTGCTCTGACTGCGGCGAGATGTTCGTGTCGGTGGGCTCAGGACCTTGCTAATGGCCGATTCTGCCAAACCAAAGAAAAAAAATAAATATCCAGTACTTAAAGATGTTAAATTACTAAAGAGATGGTTATCATTTAAGCACATAACCTTAAATAGTGATTTTTTTTTAAAAAGTTATAATTGTTTGCTTTCCTATTGAAAAGGTGACTCAAATATCTAAATCGAAGAAATCTGAATGAAACGTTGCCGAGGCTTACGATATAAAGGCTGTAACTGGTCTGAAGAGCAGCGCTTGATAAACAGCTCCAGCGTACAAAGCAGCAACTGGAAGGATATGACCAGGTCATCCTCCATCTGCAAAGCTCTTCCTGCAAACAGCCGAGGAGAAACGCATGAGAAGCTCCGACACCAAAACACCCAAACTGATCAAAACAAGGCGGCATTTGCCGTGACAATCTTGATGTTTGAATTAAACCGAGAGCTACAGTAGAGCACAGAGCGGGAAGTCATGAAAAAAAAAAAAAAACATTGGATGGCTTAACTTGAAAATGATTCTACTGATCTTGTTTTATTTATTTTTTTGACTTCCTAAAAGAAATAAAACTACCTTTTGCCAAAAGAAACATTGTCCAGCAGGTCCGCATGGTCTCTCTCTCCCTTGAAAGAGAGACAAGAAAGGATGAACAGTCTTATTTTTTTTAATCTAATCCTTAAAGAAGACTGTAAAAAGTTAAAAGAATTACAGCAGTATGTAAATGTATTCAAACTTTTTTTGGAATTTTATTTTATCATTACACCTTTAATTGTGTGGTTTTCCAATTTACACAGATGCCCCTAAATAGAAATGTATGCCACACTTTTCAGATTTTATTAGAAAATTTGACTGAAGCTTGTCCTCGCACTACGACAAAGTGGAAAAACATTTAGAGGACTGAATACTTTTTCATAGAGCTGTGCCACCAATGATGGTCGACAACTGTTAATCCCAACTTACTTGCCATCCGATGTCAGAACAAAGATATTCTTGCACGTTCTGAAACAAAAACGGATTCAGCATTCAGCTACATTCGCGTCACATTTCTACTCTCCGTTGTTGTGCTCACTCACTTCTCAAATCTTTGGTAAAGAGCCAGCATTACGTCGTACTTCTTCTCCAGTCGCGTCAGCGCCGAGTTGACCTTCATGCTTATTGTATCCAGGTTAACATCCAGTTGTCTCACCAGAGCCAAAAACTGCTTCAAACTAAAACAAAACAGAAACATAAGATTGGGAACGGATTTCCTACTAAAGACTACAAAGGTTTTTATGGTGAATCCAGCGTATATAAACATTTGTGCAGTACAATCAACGATCTTCTTGAATTATGCATTTTAAGAAACTTTACTAGTAAATGAGGATCTAAGTTTTCACAGAGAAAATCCCTTTAGAGGAGCAGTTAGCTGTTTTGCTAACTGGAAGTAACCAAAAAAACAAAAAACACTGCATGTAGTGAAGCACACCAACATTTATTGCCAATACATTAAAGGGGGTGTCATGTAAAATTACTTTTTTCACTTTTACTACTTACTACTTCTCAGTTTAACGCTAATAAGAATGTTTGGAAAGGGCGTAATGGAGAAAGGCATTGTTGTGATGAAGGCAGTGTCAGAAAAAGCAGGAGCTTCTTAAAGAGACAGAGGCCAATTTCAAGGTGTCAAATTATAACATCAAATTTATTTCAAGTTATGTGAGATATCGGTACAACATATGAAGGTATTTAATAGAGCTATAAAATTGCACCATGTGTCAGGAAAATTCATAATTCGCCCCTTTAAAGAAGGAAAAATCACTGGGCGGCTCCAACGTTTTCCTTCATTGGGAAGTGATTTTTTGATAATTTCACTACAACCCGTCTTCTTTATCTTATGTCATGTTAGATGTACCGTCTTCTTAACTTCCTGCTTTTTTCAGACAAACTCTACATCCTGTTTAGTTTATTTCCACTGCCAACTTTATATTAATTTGAGGTGTTATGGACAACACGTGGCAGTGTATTTTGATGAATAGAAACGAGCGTCTCTGGATGCAGACAGGAATACTATGAATTAAATCTTCTAGCACTTACTTCAGACTGACAGCTTTCAAAACTTGAGTTACAGTAAAGCTACCAACATCCATGTCTGTTACGATCACAAACAGACAAGCTCCCCAAAGTCTTTGCTGACTGCCCTAAATGAGAAAAAAAAAAAAAACATATTAAGAAAAGGGAAAGAAAATGGAAACTTTCCAGTCATTTTATAAAGGATGAAGTAAAATTACTTTTATATTATTAGCATTATCAAGGTTTATAGAGCTCCTCAGGTTTTGTGGTACTTTTTAAGCTAAACATGTGCAGAAACAGCTGTGTATGTAATACATACAGGGACTTTATCCATGGATTCCAGAACAGATTCCCACAGGGTCCAGGCTCGGTCACACACCAGGTCTGAAACATGAAGGCTCTTACACAGACTCACAAACTCAGCGTGCTTTTCTCTGTGTCTAAAGGTGAAGAATAAGAAGAGCAAAACATTCAGGTCATTTGACAGCAGTAGCATCCCAGAGAAGCAGCGCTACATAGTCCAAACACAGGTAATTTTCCTGCTTTATGACAGCGTTATAATTCATGCTACTTCCAAGCTAATATCCTGAGGAAATGTTTGTTTTATATTAAAGGCTGTAAACTCACTGGTGTTATCCTAAAAGCAGGCCTTACTGTTGAAATTAGCTAAACAGCTGGCCTGATAGATCGTTAGTCAAGCTAACAAGAATGGGTTGAATAATTTGACATATTGGCTAATAAATTAAACACAGGGCTACGTGTTTATAAAGAAACCGAACAGCTTGGTGATGAAATGCTGCCTTCTCTTTTATTTTCCGAATTACTTGTCTTACTTTTTCTCAGATAACTCTGGGCTATCCTGCTTGTCTGGAGAAGAAGCGCTGTCAGCGCTGGGCTTCGGCTCCTTGTTTTGTGTCATCCCAGAGTGGCGTTTTTTAGGCGGCATTCTTACAGCCTCTGCTTTACAAAAGAGCAAATTAAATAAACAAAACACAGACAGGTGGTTTTGTAGACCGCAGCTAACGTCGGGTAAATTTAAAACCCAGCGAGCAAGTTCGCGTCACAACAATACGCCAAACTGTGCCTTATTTCCTGAAACACAGTTAGAACGTGTGTTTGTTTTCCGAACCGGTGCACACGACGGAAGGGCGGGGATGCCAAGTTGTGGTTCCAGATCCAAGAAAAAGCCAGACAAAAGCCGTTTTTCTTTACTTCTTTTACCTCTTTCTTAACCAAATAGAGACAATTTATACTTATATATCTCGGTAAAACCTTTTAATTTATCTACAGCTCTTCAGACGACATATTGTGACCTCATTAGAATTGTGACGGAAGAAGAAAATCAAGTGCACCCAAACTCACGAGACAAAAACGCGGGAAAACTATTTACGCAACATCCGCTTATTTGCATTTGTCCCGCCACAGAGAGCGAGAACGTGAACGTCTGTGTTTTTATTTGCACTTGTAACGCCTTAGCATGTGATTTGTTTTCAGTTTCTGTTTTCAGTAGAGCACGCTGTGGTGTAAATAGTAATAACATACCACGCATTATTATTGTTTAACGTTTTAATGTTATACATGTATGATTAGCCTGTTTCCGTCTCATCTCTGGAAGCATGTACTTTTAGTGTTAGTGCAGATTATTACTGTGAATCCTGTTTTAATGTAAAACACACAACACACTCAAAATTACATTTCCCACTATTTGTCTTTAGTATTAGTACTGCCCTCTTGTGGCAGAATCATCTTATAACTTACATCTTGATTTTATAAGTCTACTTACTGACATCTAATGTACTGACAGACGATTATCGAAGTCAGTGTTATTACAACCACTATGTGATTGTCTTCAAAATACTATGCAAATATAACCTAATCGTGGTGTAGGCTGTATTTTTACATTCATGCAGCTATAAATGCGGCAATCAATTTACAATGTTTTAACACTTTATTCGTCTTAAAAAAGTAACTTAGCTATCAAAGAAACGTTACTGTCTTCACTAAACCATTATAGATGCTTATAGATGTGATCAGCCAGAATCCTGCATTGCAGCAGATCTGAAGAAGCCTTTATTAATTCAGTAACTATTGTAAAGAAGACGGGACCAAAGCTTCCTCAACTCTCTTTCCCTTTATCTATAGATTGCATCTTAATTCTTGTTTGTTATCTTCTTGTCCATCTCCAATACGTCCAACTGCTGTCATCTGAGTACATCTACAGATAACAGCACTTTGACTTATGCTGGAAATCTGAGGCGTACAGAATGAAAGGGAATGGCGAGAGTATAGATCCCTGTGGTGCTCCCGTGTCTCAATCTCTGGCTTATTTCCAGGTGATTGTTGTGGCCACCATCTGTCTCCTAATGTTGTAAATTAGGTTCAATTGTCTTAAATGCACAGGAGAAATCAAAGAACACTACTGTCAGTGCTCCGTGTTTTCCCAGCAGCAGGTTTGTTGAAACCATGATATTTAGAAAAATTAATTTGCACAATACAGTTCATAGCATCACAGTAAAAACAGAATAAACATTTTTGATTTCATTCTCACGTTTCCAGATTTTTCAGCTTTAATCAAGGTCATGTGGGAGCTGGAGTCTAATCAAACTGTCACCAGGCGAGAAGGAGAGACTTTCATTACATTACAAGTCAGAAATGTTTCACAAAAATTGGAGCTCTGAGTCCGAAGTTAACGTGGAACAATGAAATCAAAATAAAACTGAAACAGTTTGAATAGCAACAGTGTGGACGTCTCGGATTGTTGAACACAAGCAGCAACACAGCAGTCAAGACGCTCTCTTAAATCAAACTGCGTCTCCAGGGACACGGGGTCAAAAGTACAACCAGAGTGGAAACAAATATGCAGGTTTATGTTCATCCTGTCACCGCAGACGACCACAAACAAAAATATCTATTTCTGATACTTAAGGACATGGCAACAATACCGCCACAGTTTTACTAATATATTGTCATATAGGACAGTAATGCTAATAAAAATAAATACGTTGCTTTTTCCAGCCTGCATGTTTTCAGGATTGGCCTTCCTACATCTACTCAACAAAAAGTTAAAAAAAAAAAAAAAAAAAAAACATTCCCAAAGCATGATGCTGCCACCACCATGTTTCATAGTGCGGATTTTCCCTCCACGCATAACCATGTAAGGCAAAGTTTAAAACAAAAATCAAAAATAATTTGTTGCATATGAGAAACTACAGACTCCTCTTTAATACTTGATTTAGCAAGTTATTTTAAAAGCACTTCTTCTCAATACATACTTTTCATTCAGTTTAAATAAGACACCGGGTTAAAATATATTTAGGACTAAGTAGTTTAGTCTGGCAGGATAATGAAAAGCAGTCATTTCTCCAGGTAAATTGGCATAAATAGTTTTCCTTCTTGGTTTTTCAATTAACATGTGGTTTGTAAAACAACATGACAAATAAATTAAACTAATTTTCAACTTTAACCTTTGTATAACATAATCAATCCAAGATAAATTGCTTAAAAATACCATTCATACATACATGCACACACAGTATTATAAATAAATCTTTCATTCCCTACTGGCCTGCAGGACACAGTCTGATCTGCCACCAGAGCCTTGCTGGAGCAGGCAGCAAAATAATAATAATAAAAACAAATAATTAAAAAAAGGTCTCTTAAAAACATAGTTTGCTCATTGCTGTCGATTCCTCCCTGCCGCCTCCTCATGCACTGCTTCCCATTTCCCATGTCATTGCTGTGAAGTCCTGGTCTGTGAGCGTGACGGTGTACGGAGCCTCCACTAGCTCCGGCTCCACGTGCTCCTGGCTTCTCGCCGCACTGTTCAAGTTATTTACCCTCCAGGAGTTCAGAGGTCGGATTGCTTTCTTGAAGCGCTGCGAAGGAGAAGTCAGAGTCACACCAGATTAATCCAGTGAGATTTGAACTGCTTGTATGACCACGACAGAGGTGAAGAGGGTCAATGTTTTGATGTTTTACAGCCACAAGCCTTGGGATCTTACACCATAAAGTTTTGTATAAGTATAAAGAGGAAGAATACTAATTTTTTTTTTTTTTAACTCATGCATGCATTCGTTTTTAGGATTCAGTCCCCTCAGGGTCATTCCTTGTAGAATCGCCTTTTACAGCAATTAAAGCTGCAACTCTTTTGTAACTGTGAAGTCTCTGGCAGCATCACAGATCTAGAGACCAGCATGTTTTATTTTTCTTGTTTGCAAAATAGTTTAGCCTCAGCTTTACCGGATATAAAACAACTTCATTTTCCTGTCTCACATTCTAAAAGGGATTAGCTCTGTCCATCAACTCCTACAAAGCCTAATTGATTTTCCTTCTACTCTTCAGTCGCCCATTACTTTGCGTTGGTCCATAACATTAAATGCCAATAAAATACACCTTCGTCGTGGCTGTAATGTGGTCAAACATGAAAAAAAAAAACTTTAAAGAACATGACTACTTTTGCAAAGTCTTGTAACCGGACCTCACAGTGCCAACCCAGCAGCATACTCACTTCTTGTAGAGAACCAGTTTCCTTGCTGATGGCCACGACGGCCCAAATGAGGATCTGCAAGCAGCAGGTCGCGCCCATGCACACGCCCAAACCTTTACCCCACCGTGGGTACACATACGAGCCGTAATGGAGGGGTGTGTTGTACATCTCCAAAAAAATGTAGATCAGGATGAACTGTGGTGGGAGAGGCACAGAGAAAGAGAAACGATTCTGGTGAGAGAATCGATGGCAGCGGAGAAAAAGACAACACAAATGCTGTAGACGGGGAAAGAGATCAGATTGAGTCTCTGCCCTAAATATTCAACCTGGGTACAGATTCCAGGACAAATAGCAACTACAATTTAGTTTGATTTGGTAGCTTGGGATTCTGTAATCATTTCCTCTCTTTCAGTTCTTTACTTCATTCAGCGTTTGAGCTGTGATCATGTTACCTTCTCACTTGAAGTGCTTCAGGTAACGCACAATAAAGAGTTGTAATAATAACGTGAGTGATGTAATACAGCTTAACAATATCAAAGAACAATGCTGAGAGTGAATTAAGTATAACTCAGTTTAGGATTAACACAAGAAGATGTTGGTCGTTTTGAGCACAACTCGCAAAAACTAGGATTTGGGGAGTTAGCTTAACAAGTTCTTAACCTAAAACAGCTTATGTTGAAATATTTATAGTAAATTTGATGTTTTCCTGTAAAGAGTGGGAAATAACTGATTTCATACACATTTTTTTGCACTCACCAGGAGGAGAAACGGTGTGCAGAAAACCCAGCAGGCCTTGAAGTAGATCAGCACTTTGCTGCACCACGGAGGGCAGTGGCAGATCATGTCAATAATGTCCTGACAAAACTGATTGATTCCTGTCAAAAAAAGTCAGCGAAGAGATGCGCGTTGGAAACTGAATTATCGCCAGGACAACGGAGACTCGCTGCCCTGAAACTCGTTCAGTGGAATGATGGGATTAGTTAGGGATGACAAGTGACGGCAAGGAATGTGAAATGGGATACCATAGAAGAAGGAGATGCCAATGCACATGAATAGGGTGATGATGATGAGGCCGAAGCTGGTGCTGAAGGAGTCGATGAGAGTGAACCAGTAAATCCCTCCCTATTGAGACACGAACAACAGGGAGGGAATATGAATGTCAAAACTTAACGGTGCACTGCAGAAGCATTTATGATTGTCAAACTTTATCATGATTGATTTAATTTTTATAAGCAAGAATCTAAACATTGTGGTAAGCACTCTTATTAAACTCTCTCAGTCAAAGCTTTACAAAACCCCAGATTTTTTTTTTTTTTTTTTTGCAATTACAGTTTCAAGTCGTTCGTGTATGCATCAACCAGCTTAGCACATCTAGATTGATTTTTATAGAATATTTGCAAAATATATCATATGCAGTCATATTCAATAAATCTTAATATACAATCCAATTAGGCTCACTTATCAGCTTAAAAGTACCTTTTGAAAACAATCTAGGCAGATATTAAAATATACTTTTCATTAAGCTCATATTTCTGTCTAATTTATTTTGATTTGACTTGTGTTTTTCTTATCTTCAAATCAAAAAACGTCACAGATAGAAG